TAATTTAAAAATTATATATATATATATATATAATATTCATATGGATTATAATATAGCAATAACAAAATATTTATTATATCAGTCTCGTCCATATATTACACCAATATTTTTAAACTTAAAAGAAACTTCAGCATTAATTATAAGTCATTAACAATGGTAAATGAAGACCACTATTTTTGATAAACTGAGGTGTCTATTAATACATCTCATTATAGCTGACCACAATTTAAGATGTTTAATATTAATAATACTGAATTTGTACACGCCATCTAATTTAATACAAATAAATAATAGAATAATAATAGCATTAATTATATATAAAGTGTCATATATCTACTTGTGTAATCAGAGGACTTAATGTACAAATAATTCTACCATGTAAAATAAATGATTGATATAAAATAACCTTAAACTATTTATATAAAAGTATAAACCAGTGGATAACATTTAAAAATAAATGGACAAATTCAAATTACCGTAAGCATAATTGAGTATTATTTAAACAAATATCTAAAGCTCTCTACCATAGAGGAAGAGAGATGAGTAAATTTATGAGGGGTAAAAAAAAAGTGGTACAAAGTGGACAAAAAATCATCAGGAAGGAATAGAAAGCAAAGGGCTCAAATACGATTTATGAAAAATCAAAATTCATTATGTAATAATAAAAACAGCCTAGCTTTTTTGAACTAAATAGTGTATGTTTTATTTCTTAGGATTTCTGCCCACAGGCTATGTTAGCGTCAGCAGGTAAAGTGAATTCAGTGAAAAAAAAAAACCAAAAAAAAAAACACAGCCTTTGACTTATTGTATAAATCAACTATATAGCACATCAAAATGGAATATGGATGGAAAAATCTGTTCAGATACTAATAATTTAAGATTATCTACTAAAATGAATAAACTCTGGATCTGACATCAAAATATTGCTGTAATTATCAGGTCAAGTCTTCTTCAAGTCCTCTTCTAGTTTTTGACTGTCGGTGGTATAAATGAGAAGAAAGCTCTTCCAATATATCATATACAGTAGTACTATTTTGCGGAGCCTTACTGTGGAATCTCCAAGGATAGTGCCTGCACAATCCAGGGGTCGCATTTTGAACCTTCTCGGAATTCTTCTTTGTTTAGTTTTCCACGACCAGACTACACAAATAAGCAAAGAATATCATGAACATTAATTATACAACATCCCTGAAAGTTTACCACAACAAATTTTCAGGTCCCTACGGTATTCTCGAATTGGAGGGTGAATTGTAGGCCTGTTAGTTGGCAGGCAAAATATTGTCTCATTAAATTTTTGAAATGAAAGCTAATATCTAATACCTGTAATTCAAAATACCTTTAATTCAAAATTCTTCATCAATCTCATCTTTTAAATCTGCTCTAACTAAGTACTATATTTAATTATATTAGTTGTACTTTATTGTATTTTGTTTGTAATTTTTTGTTTAGTGCTTTTATATTTTTGTTTTTGTATAATTACAAAACTTGATTGGTATTCAGTTCATTTTTGTATAAGGTGGAGTGAGTGCAGTATCTGTTTGGGCTTGTGCCTATTCTCAATCCGGGCTTAAATTGTACTTGATGATCGCCAAATAAATATTATTATTATTATTATTATTATTATTATTATTATTATTATTATTATTATTATTATCTGATACATATATTTATAATAAGCAACTATAGTTAAATACTACAGCACCCACAAACTCTAGAATGACAAGGTTCAAAAATTAAAATAAATAAAATGATTGAATGATTTACTGATGTACTATAGTACTACAAAAAAAAATTTGCTGGTAGAAGTTTAATATAGTGGTATAAATGCAAAGATTATAGGTATGGTATTATTTATTTTCTGTTAATTGGAAAGGACAATTCCTCCTTGTTCAAGTTTTAGGTTAATTAAGTAACAAGGAATACAATTTGTGTTCGGGGAAACACAGATTTCAGATTTAATAGGATGTTAATATAATTTTTAATGTATTTTGTAAAATGTCATTTCATGTCTATTCTATTTTCTATTTGAACTTAGGAAATAAGACTAGCCACAGTTGATATATCCATCTTCAAGTGTAACAAGCTAAAGAAGTATGCTAATCACCATAAATTTGTATATATTTGCCAAATTAAAAAACATAAATGGCAGTTCTAAAATTTAATGAGGCAAACCTATTTATCAGCTGAATGATTTCTGTGCAATAAATTATGTAGACACTAAAAATATGACATGGTCAAACTTGTTGGCAGTATTTATAGTCTTTTTTATTTCTCATATTTACCATGTTCATACTATAAGAGACATAATTTGATTACTGCTTTCATCACAGCAAAGCATTACAGACAATTTGCATTATTTAATTTGTGTAGATTCAAGGTATTGCACATGAGATTTTATCACTGTAATCAATATAACTTAGATGGAAGGTTCAATATTATATCTATACCTAAAGGAAAGGTGACTTGCTTACTGCCTTTCACCTGTAGAAGAGTACTTTTTTCTCGAATGCCAGTATCATGTAAAATAAAACTAAAAAGTGGAGTTGAATAGCTTGGTGGTTAAGATGCTTGCCTTCCAATCCCTGGGTTCAATTCCTGTCATGACCAAAACAACTCCACTCCCTAAGCCTCCTAGTGAGACTTAGTTTATGTAGAGCATATTGTGTTTATGTTTGTCTTGTGAAGGGATATGGCGCTTTGAATCGTGACTAAGTTCACTGCTTGCAATATCCTATTCTTTAAAGCACTACAATTTTCAGTATTCCAGGCTAGTAAGCTAATAAATCAGAACTTGATAATTTCAATATTTCTTAATGTTTTACAAATTAAATTTATACCAATTTACAGGCAAATAAGTAACACCTTTCCCATAATTATATTAGTATTTTCATTTGAAACATTCATTTTCTTCCTTTGAATTAATCGTATATAATACATGGACAAAACGAAATAGTTTTTTTGAGTAAATAAAATAAGAAATAAAAATGCTAAATATCAGTAAAAAAAATTCAGTACCTCGTAAGACATGAAATTAATGTAATTAAAAAATAAACAAACATGGAATTGACACTGTGTCTTGTCCACCAACTTACTGTGTCCATCTGACCAAATATCTTATTTACTCTCTTCTCTGGAGTATCTTCATCACTTGGCAGATCAAGCATATTTCCCTGCAAATACAATAAACAAGACAATTTTTAATATTAGTAGCATGAATACATTTTTAAAGTAAGAACCATGGAGCATAATATGAACATGTTTAAGACTTGCCATGCCAAACCAGCATGAGTGACAAAAACACGAAAACTTTTTAATACATTCATATTCTCCACATTATAAGCTTTAAAAATAAAATGATGGGTAATTTAGCAATGGAATCAATTTACTATGCCAAAGTTATGAGTATAAGTATTACAGCTTTTCTTTACTATAGTATACGATACTGAAACAGTCTTATGTTAATTACTCAGTTTACTAAAAATCAGCAACAGGTACACTGGTTTTGGGATAGCAAGCCTCATGGAAGATTTGAAACCCAAGCTTTCATACACACAATGCACTTTGTTTTTTATGAAGAGTACAAGATATATTTATAAGTATTGTCCCACCTACTATTGTATAATGATATAGGTTTTCATGCCCATTGTATATATAAGTGGACGATACTGATTTTGTTTTCTTTTGTCCTTACTTTACTGCAGTCAAACCCCTTGTTATGTGTTGTTTATGGTACAGCTAATGCTTATTGGTCTCAGTTGTTGATCATCCTTTCATACCAGTATATTTTGTTTTGTAGACCATGGTTAGACCAAAAGTAAGTTGTAGCCTTTGTGGAAAAAATTAACCTAACAAACTTCAGGGGATACTACACATACACATCTAGCCCCACCCACCCACACACACACACAATGATAAACCATCGGCCAATAAAAGTCCAGATACAGGATTCCATGTGAATGTGGTAAAGTCTACATTGGAGAGACCGGTAGAGACCTCTACACCAGACTCAACGAACATCAAGGTCATGGAAGACGACATGTATACCAAAAGTCATCCAAAACAGGAAAATCATCAAATTCATTAGGACTCTAAACTAATCACTCCAGTACCTACTTGGCACTCCAGACGCACTAGGGAAGCAATTGAGATTTACAACAAGCATAACATAGTTTCACAATATATTGGATTTGTCGTATATGTCGATCATTATTTAAACGATCTTCACTTTGATAGATTTGTTTACATGTAAATGTTGGTTTTCAATTTACTTGCATGGGATGGTGACCTGTAAATTACGAGCGTCCTGGGCTTAGTCCTTTAAATGGCGGGAGAATGGTCACACCTTGCTTATTATTAACCCCATTACTTGTTTTCAGATTTACTGTTCACAGCCAACCCAACAAGCTAACTTTTATTATGGGAAAACATAGCCACGATGAATGGACACTACCTGGCTTTCTTACTCCAATCAAGCACTAGTCACACCACCTTTATTTTTAAAGGAAACAGTGGATCATTGACGATCACCATCTCTATTCAAGACCAACAGAAGTCATAATTCACCTGATGACGGACAGAGTAATCTCCCTGGGACTAATTAAAAAATGTTAATGCATATCAATGTTATGTATTGAAATTAGCACTACTCTGAAAATGTTGTACCTGCCCGTTTAAAAAATTTCTGGATCCACCTCTAAACCAACCAGTGGTTTTACCTCAAAAACCATATTATTACACATGGTGTACCAAAAGTTTAATGATTTTGTTATTGATACTCAACATGCAAACCGTCAAGAAATATTTTATGAACGAAATTAGTATTGACTTTCAATTTCCTTACTGTATATATTTACCTCTTACATCAGTTTCTATAATTGATTATGATGGTATAAGATATATGATACATAATTCGTTGATTAGCAATTAGTTCATCAGGCTATTAATCTCTTCATCTTCTGCTATAATAAGAAAATTATGGCAATTAAACAGATGAACTTGAAAATATCAAACAGCAAAAGTGCTTTGCTCCATAGAAAACATACCACCATCTTGTAAATTGCATCCACAATATCAAGCATCTCCTTCTTGGTTATGAATCCATCATGATCTAGATCATAGAGATTGAATGCCCCTGAAAAATATAAGATATTATATGATAACAACAACTATCGAAAAGTATCATAAGATGCTAAATGTTAACACCAAATATATAGTTAGAAGCAACGTAAGATCTCAACAGATATTACATGAGAATTCTATGTAGTAGAAGCAATGTTATATATCTCATTAACACCAACTACAGTAGGTTGTTAACCACAGTACCAATTATAGAGGAGACAATTTAAGATGTCAAAAGATAACACCAACTATAAAGAAGTGTTAATGCAAGATGATAATTAAACACCAACAATAGAGGGATAATAATATAAGATGTTAAATGAAGAATCAACTACAGGGAAGCAATATAAGGTGATAATTAACTATAATTAAACACCAACTACTACTATATTGGAGACAGTGTAAGATGTACAACACCAACTAAATCAACAAAAGATCATTAGCAACACCATGCAGAGATGCCATGTTTATGGCATAGAAGCAATATTCTAATAAAGAAGACTCAAAAGATGTGGGTCAATGACTGTTGTCACCTAATGGTAATGTTTTATATAATAATGGTAAACACATAATCTTTGAATGCATTTTTAAATAAGAACTCAAAAATGACCTACAATCCAATTTCTCATCTAACGAACCCCTTGATGTAACTGATAATGCTGATATAAACTCCTTAAATGATATGTATCCATCCTGAAAGAGGAAAAAAAGATTACATGTACAGAGTGAAAAAAAAAATCACTATATTCAAACACAGGTCTCCCTCTAATTGTGGCAAAGACAAGCCAAACCAGTCACTCGTCGCAAATCGTGTTTCAGAGGAAATGGCCAAAACATGCTGCAATGTCTAATTTTTTAAAATCTATTTTATTGCACTAAACTAACCTTTATATATCTATACATATTGCTATGCTGTTATTTTCCCCATTTTCAATGTTAAAACAACACTTTTTTAAGGATTCTTGGAGTGGAATTGAATAGCTTAGTGGTTAAGATGCTTGCCTTCTGATCCCAATGTCCTGGGTTCAATTCCTGTCACAGCAGGACTTTTTCTCACAACTAAAAGCAACTCAACTCCCTAAGCCTGCCCTCATAAAGAGACTTGGTTTATGCATCATTTTCCTCCTGTAAGTGGCGAGTGTACTTGCTGTTGGATGTGAAGGAAACAGATATATATATATATATATAAAATTGGATAATAGTTTCTGCATGAGAAATGCCTGAAATCATAAACTTTGAAGGCTGATTTCTCATATTGTTCTTTAAACAGCTGTATGTTTAAACGCTTGTAACATCATAAGGAAATGTCTGATTTTAAGGATTTTTTTAACCATCTTATAGCTCTTATTTTACTCTTTAACCCTGTATTAACAACTCAAGATCGATTTTTGCAATGAGAGACTGGTTTGGCTAGTCCCTGCTACAATTGAAGACTCCTCCAATTAAAGACCACTTTTTATGTGGTCCCAAATTAACAATGTCTTTTTTCTTTATTATTCTAATTAGAGACCAAAGCTGCTAAAGACCATGGAAAGCCCGAAATCAGAAAGTCGTCTTTAACTGGAGGGAGACCGTATAACCTTTAGTTTAACTGAATAGCAAGTAACTAATTAACAACCCAGATTCATCCAATGCCTTATTTATCAATTACTGGTAATTAAAATCCAAAATGATTCATATCCATCATTAAACAACACCCATTATCTGATTCATTACAATGGCCTGTCGCTAAATTTGCATCGACCGATGCAATTTTCGATGTCACCAAAATAATCTAGTTGCGAGTGTGTTTGTCTCAAGTGCACACAAGATTACAAAATTTCAAAAATGGGATATTATGTAACTGAGAATTAAACAGGGTTTCTAAAATTATTAAAATTGGTAAACTTCACCTTCAACAAACCACAAGGATTATTATACGTATCAACAAGTATAGGCCAGCAAGACCTCTGGCAACAGGAATCTAAATTCATCCTTTTTTGTTCCTCATACTAGCAAATCCAAAATTCAGGTCAGTTTTCAACGTGAAAAACATTGGATAACATTTTACGATCATCACTGCGAAAAATGCAATAAATCTTCTTTCAACCAACTACTTCTCAACACATGCATCAAGACAATTTTTTTTTCACTACATCAACTCAGAAGAGAAAAAGCGAAGACGACAGCTATTAAAAGATATCGTATATCGTACATTCTTTCATTAGTATAATAGTATCCAATCATACATTACAGTCACTGTAATTAACTGCAAGAAATGTATTGAAATTTCAATGTATGGCACTGCTCTTATGTTCTTTAAGAGTAATTTTACCATCAGTATAAAACTCTATATGAATGTAATTACTGTACAGAATATGTAAATCTTCTCCCTATAACAAATTCTACTAAATTTGTTCACAATGCTGTATTTAGGCCAGCTATCTTCTTTGTTGCCAATATTATTAATGTTATATTGCTGAAAAACATTATTATAATATAATTTAATAATAAATTTAAAAAAATCTTCTTCACTATCTTTGAAGTGTGATCCATCTAATATCGTTGATGAAAGTGTAGTTTCATACTACCAGTTAAATGATTTATGTAAAGTTATGTTAATTTAAGTGCTGTAGGTAGGGACTGATATATATTTTTGACTGTTTGTTTATTCATACAGTACACTGTATTATAGTATTAAAAACATAGTTTAATAGGTCCATTGTTTAAGTTGAAATAAGATAAAAACAAGGTCAGAAGAAGATTGTAATTACTGTATGTAATAAATAGGTATTGATTTTGTTCTTCATTGTCCATTCTTACTGAATAATTATTGTATCAAGGTTGTAATCTTTTAAGTAAACAGTTAGTTCAAGTTCCATCTTTTCGAATGCAATGTCTTGCTACTTGTCATTTGCATTTTTTGAGGTGTTGTAGATTTTATTTGCAATCTGTTGAGGCATCTGGAAACCAAATTTCATGTGAACCCAGTTGTACATGTTCACATATAAATATATCTTGAATCTTGTATTGTATTTATGTTTCTTAATCTGTGTGTAATTTTATTAATTAGTTATTTGAACATACACCTTTGAATCGGTGGCACTCAATATCAATTGGTGCGTTCGTACAAACAAAAACAAAAAAAAGGGGAAAATTTAACAAACAAAATAAATAACAATCGACTGTATATAATATTACAAAATTAAAGAAAGGTAGAAAAATAACATATGAAATTAGATGAGATCACATTTCACATCGCATTTCATACTCAGAAATATTTACAGGTCAACTGTAAAGTAAATGCTTAAAATAACTAACCTACAAAATATAAATAATATTATAATATAATGTTTATACACTTATCATGTATTTACATGAGATGAATAATCTAAACCTTCAGATGAAGTGTGACTCGCTGTCAAAAGAAAATGCCCCCCACCCCAAAAAACTGCTCTACACTACAAACCGCCACTCGACTCTCAGCTACCTCTTACACAGCAGTTTACCCCATGACCTTCCAAGTTACCTCATGCTCTCCAGGTTACCCCTGCCTTCTAGGTTACCTGATGTTCTCCACACTATCTCATGCCATCCATGCTACCTCTCCACTTCAGGCTGTCACTCCTCTTAAACATGTCCTTCCAATAAGTTTGCTCTTCCACTCCAGGCAATCCTCTTTGTTCCAATTCAAACTGCCTTGCTACTCCCATTGCTTTGCTCCATGCTGCATCTTCACCCTCAAACACACTACACACAAGCTGAGCTAATGACCTTCGATAACTAATCAATATTGTGGTATAATAACATTAATCTTGTTATTAATTAACTTAGATTGTATCGATTTACGTTTGATTTGATATCCAAATATACACCAAGAAGTTAAAGTGCATTTACTTAGCTACAAATTATGTTGAAATAATAGCAATTGCTATTATTGATTTTTTTTTTTTCAGATGAGCTCTAGCCTTATTCTTAGGGAGATAGTCACATTATACAGCAATATACAATAAATTCATAAATGGATACCAATGATTTTAAGCTATAGGCTTGAAATCCTTCAATTGATCAAATAATTTCTTTTTAGATTTTCGAACTCTATTCAAATTTTAATAGGACATCCCTCATCTTATGGTAGCCACAAAATCTGGGCAGTCTGACCTGTTGCAATTCTAAGCTTTTTGGCCACATACTGTAGAATACTGTACAGAACTTTGTGGTTAGCCATGCTCTTACCAGAGACATCCTTCTCAGGTCTTCATATACCAATGCATTTTTAATACCATTCCCTAAATGGTTAAATGTTTTGCTGAATATACTAATGAATGCCCCACTTTGAATAAACGGTCCTTGATCTGGATAAATAATTGATAAAAATCATCTGGAGCATCACATGGATTGTGTCAGACTCACAGTCTGTCTGGTTGCCATGTGAATATAGTAAACAAACAATATTTGGTTGCATACAGTATTTAAATTGCAAGAACCTCCAACATGATGAATAAAAAGTATAGCCGCGTTAGTCTGTACAGTATAGAAAG